ACAAGTCATCTCAAGGCACTTTACAGTTCACCAGATCATACAGTCAGATTGATTCAAAGTTTTCAGTCTAAGGAAAACCTGTTGATTGCATCGACTCATTGACTCGAATGCAATCTCTCACACTAGGCATGCTTGTAGCGACAGTGGAGACAAAAAACTCAGTTTTAACAGGAAGAAACCTCCAGCAGAACCAGGCTCAGTGTGAGTGGCCATCTGCCGAGGCCGACTGGGGTTCAAGCAGACAGAAGCAGAGATACAAAAGGCAACTGTAAAAGGCGGCCCGGTCCAGGAAACACAAATGTTTTCATTGGAAATAAAGGTCTTTGGCTAAACTTTTTAAAATCAATTGTCTACATTGCTCTAATAATGATTATGAGCAGATTCTGGGTAGAATTCAAAATGCAAATAAATACAGGCTTTCCTCAAAATCTTTCATGTTTTAAATACAGTACAGTTGGGGAATAGTCAGCCATTTCTTTTTGTCAACAGGAAAAGCTGCATAGTCAAATTACCTGGCAGCAAGCCAATGTACATTATATAACATGTGTCTCCTCATGGACCAACATGGGTTTTATTTCTTTCTCAGGTTTAATAGGTTGCTGCTATTTCATTTCTGCAGCAACATAATGCAAAAGAGACATAGTTCTTAAAATGTATTATGTGTGAGGGTCTAACTGCAGCACCAGCATTGGGGTCTATGTGTAAAATATCCCAATAAATGTATAAGGTTGCGCCTTGTCTTCATTGTTTAGTTAGATCTATAAGTTGAGGTGTTTCTGCCTGTTGTTCTTTTTGTGCTCACAGTGGTCTGTGACCTCGCTTTTGTTCCTGGTCAGAGTATAATGGAATAGGGAGTGGTTGTTGTCTGTCCTTAATGAAGACCGATGGAGTGGGAGTGGCTCAGGGTTGACAACAGGTGTATAGGAAGCTGTGTGTTCATCTATAGCAGCTGGTGGACGTGTGCAACTTCCTGCTCTCTTCACCTCAGGGCTTTTCTGCTTTCTGTTAATGACAGATGAGCTTTTCTCATATCTGAATCTTGTCAAGTGAATAATATTGGTAATCTGCCTGAGGTTAGGTCTTTATGCACTGTGACATAAACATAAGTAACTGATTTAGATAAATGACACAGCTCTTTGTCAGAGATGTTGTTGCACCTATAATTGAAGCACATTACGTTCAAGCAGAAAGGGTCTTATACATTTGAAAAAGGATTTAAAGTTAAGAAAACATTTCTTTAATTATTTACAGCACTAGTTACTTGTTTTTCATTATTGGGCTGACAGGGAAGGGGTTACAAGAGAGGGACAGAGACTCCCTGCACAGGACCACAGGTCAGATTTGAACCCAGGTAAACCACGTCAAGGACTTGGGTCGTGAGCAACATCCACTGCGCCACTGAAGCATGAATGAGTTTGGAAAACGTTTCTAAGAGTCTAAATGATGCCTTTGTCTTTTTTGTAGGCTGTGTACTTTGGCATATAGGCAGAAAATGCATAAATAGCTGTGACAACCAGCTGCACTGCATTACCAAAAATATTTGGTCACTTACTGTACCTTTACATATAAACCTTGAGACATCCCTCTAATTTTATGATGTTGATCCACAATTTGCATCTACGACAGCAATAATTGGAAGCCTTTATACAAGGTTTTGGAAGTTTTGTAGGACTCTTCTAGAAGCAAAATATTTTGAAATCCATGAGTCATTTTTGCTCCAGTTTTCAATTTTCTATGTAAAATAGATCATTGCATTTTATTATGTGACGACAAGCGGAGGAGATGCAACTACATTTGCACGGCAGGGCATTTTTCAGTTATCTATTTTTATTAAGAAAAGCAATGGGACAGGTAAGTATAGATTGTCTTTAGAGTTTTTCTATTAACTAAGGTCATCTCATCTGATGCTGCATGTTTTATACACACTAAGGCTGCCTTACACAGCTCTGGACTAAAGGAGATAGTTGTTGAACTTTTTAGCTACTAATACAAAACAGGACTTGGGGAGATTTTTTCCTATAGCAACTCCTGTTAACTCTATTAAGTAATGATGTAAGCTAATTAGAACCACACAATCAAACAACTGTTGATTCCCTAAAGATGGTTAAAGATTCTCTACAGATTCCCTCTTGGAGTTTCGTCATCCTCAAACCAGCTTTCAAACCACATCTTTTAATTTACCTGAACAGATTATAAAAACTGTAGGAAGAGCTGGAGGAGACTGTCAGAGGCTGTGGCAGTCTTTGCTCTGTAACAGCTTCATTATCAGCCATGCAAGGAGGCAACTCTGCATGAGGTCGGATGTTCTCACAGTCTCATAAATGAGACATGAGTTACGCTGTGGTCCGGCTCTTTCAGACGCAGACTCATGCAGGCAACACGAGCACGGTTTGACGTCTGTTAATTAATTAGTAACAAGCTCTGGGTATCAGGTGGACAGGGCTAAAAACCGGTGGGAAAATTACCAGTAAGCATTGGAGGCAGATAAATTCCCAGAATATTGTCTTCTCGGTACAGATGTTTAATCCTACACAATATGATCTGTAGTAGTTTCAATTCTTTTTTATTTCTTGATGCTGAAAGCAGTCTGTGGGTTTTTAGAATAATTATCAATAGATGTTTAATATGAATAATGAGTTTTTTTGTAAGGAACCTGCTCGTTTATATTATATTAAGGAGAAAACTGAAGTGGATTTATACAGCAGTTTGTATAAAGGGACATGCAGTAGAAATCCAGTGGACCTGAATATAGTTCATCCCAGTTTATTTTTAGCTTGATAGACAGATATCCATGTTTTTTGACTACTGTAAATCTGTGTGTGATAAAATGGTGTGACATGCATTTGGATTTTTACTCCTTTATTCTATTAGACTTAAATAAAGGACAGTCTACAAAATGATGCATGTTGATGGTAGGATCATACACTTATTGTTTTAGTTGAGCAACAGACAAAAACTTTGTGAGAGTGGACTAAAACAAACAAAACATGGGACTAAATACGGAAGAAAGCCAGCTAGGTGACATTTACAGCAGGCAAATGCGACACAAGTCTGATCTTTTTGCCCAAATGTGACTAATGGCCAACTTCTCAGAGGCAATGAATATCTAACTTCACCAACTTCCATGTTTGGTTCTATAGAGGATATATAGCAGATAATTTTCAAAGCGTCTGTTGGCTTAATGGTTGCGTTGATGTCCTGAACCGTTTACACAGTAATCTGATTGCAGTCACATTTAATGAGTGTAAAAAACAGTGACAAAAAGACCTGAATATAGAAAAAAATCACTTTATTTTACTGTTTTTTTTACTTATGAGAAGCTCAGCTGCCAAAGTCCACTCTATATAACATGTCACTTAAGATCGATTGAGAGCGAATCAGGAGGGGGAACGAGAGAGGGGGAGAGCTGAACGTAGAGGAACAGAAAGAAAAATATAAGCTTGCGGTGTGCTCTTGGCGTATTTGAAAAGAGTGCAGAAACCAGGGGAGTGTGGCGTTACTGGGGGGGTGGGACTTCACAACTAGGACATTATAGAGAATATAGAAAACTCTCCAAGTGAATAGAAGTGGCATGTTCATCCTTTTTAGCCACCAGAGTTGAGCTTGTGACTACAGTGTTAAGTTCAACAGAAACATGAGGTATCCAAGTTTCCAAATACCCTGAACATGCTGCTAAGGCTACAATTGTAAGCTTGTGTGTTAATGTGTGACAAGGGCCTTTTCAAATTCGATACATTTTCCAGGTGAAAATATCTCACAAGGTTAAAAAAACAATGATCACAGCCGAGTCTGTCTGGCTTCCTCCTCTTCCAGCATCTAGCCCAACACCAGATGGATTAGATCCATCCCTGTCTTCACCCATTTGTCCATGGCATGCGGCCGAAGGTGAGAAGATACAACTACAAAGTCGATCGACCTCCGGCTTAGGGTGTCCTGGTTCCAGGATCACCAATGGACATCCTTATGTTTGAACATGTTGTTCATTATGTACAATATGTGTCTTGCACAGAAATCCAATAATGAAACACCCCTTAGGTTCTGAGCTGGGGATCTGTTTCTCCCAATCAAAGTCGAGCATCTCTAAAGGAGCTAGGTTCCAGAGACCACGCCTTGTATGGAGAAGATCTCGACTATTTCTAGCAGGCATCACTTCAACTCCCACACAATCTCAGGCTCTTTCCCCCCAGCAAGGAAATACACCATGTCCCCAGAGCCTGTTTAAGCATCTGCGGATTGGGTCGCCTCTGCCTCCGACTGTCACCCAACTTGTCTTTGCAACGGTTCCTGCAGGTGGTGAGCCCATTCGGGGATGGCCTCGTGTTACTCCTTAGAGCTGAAAGAACCAGGCCATCAGGCACTTGCCAACAAACCCCAACCCCAGTCCTGGCTTCAGGATGGGGTGCCCGCTCCACCATACTGGGCGATGTCACATACCTCGATTTTTATGGTTATCATACGGGCTTTGTGAACTTCTCTTTGTCTGAACTGTCACCCAGAGCCTGTTTGCCTTGGGAAACCCTACGAGGGGCATTTCAGTCCCTGACAGCACAGCATCTGGGATAATCAAGGCACTGAAAGCCCTCTACCACTTTAGGGTGGCAGTTTGAGGAAGGGAGATCATGCTTTTCATATATTATTATTAGACTTTTTCAGGTTCTCTTTTAAAGGTACTGTCTTTTTGCATTTATCTTAATTTAGAGTTGTTATCTTTGTGACTGGAGTGCTATGTATGAACTGTATAGTAATGACACCACATTATGTAACTAAGGGTAAGTTGACAATTTTTTGTCTCAGACATCAAAGGCAGGAAAAAATGCAGAAAAATTGGATTTTCCTTTTTTTTCTAACTTTTTCCTTTTGTCTTGAGTCCCATCTCTCTTTAATCTAACACCCCCCCCCCCCCCCCCCCCCCCCATTCCCCAAATTCCAGATTGTGTTTCATTCCATGCATGACTTTCTCTGTATAATTCAGCTGTGTTGTTATTTCTTCTGCAGCTTCATGGCCATTGCAGTTCTCGCCCCCTTTCTCTAGGAAGCAGCCTTTGAATACTCAGATCAACGTGACAGACGACCATCAGAGGGACAAGGATGGATAGACTGGAGTTACTGTATGCTTCTTCTTCGGTGTGACCAGATGAAGGGATTCCTACCTTCAGTCAGCAACCAGGGGACACACGGCAGCTGATTGTTAGCCTTCAGAGGTGACAGATGCAGAAGTAGACAACAGTTATATGATTATTTAAACTGACTTTCTCAGCATAGTAGTTGCTGAGTGTTAAATTTTGGTGTTCTTGTTATGAGTTGTTTATCTACAACCAATGAGCCAGAGAGCTGCAGCAGCGAGGAGAGCAGCTGCACCACCTCCTCCATTATTACCTCAGACTCATCCTCTATGTCTGGGCAGACCAACTCCCTAAATGATGCCCAGCATAAAGCTCCCCCGCCCCCTCCCCCACCTCCAGGGGTACCCCCACCTCCACCGCCCCTATCAACCAACCACAATATAAGGAAAAAGCGCCGGGTGCGCAGCTTCTTTTGGAAGACCATCCCAGAGGAGAAGGTGCGCGGGAAGCCAAACATCTGGACGCTAGCGGTGCGGCAACAGCAATATCAGATAGATGTTCGCTCTGTGGAGGAGCTCTTTGGGCAGCAGGAAGATGCGGCGACAGCAGGCTTACGTGGCTCAACTGGAACAACTGGAACCTCAACTCGCCTTTCTAGGTCCCGTTCTTTTAAGGACAGCAGCAAGAATGAGGTGAGTACTGACAAAAACAACACCTAGCATAATTACTGCTCCACTGGACATCATCAACACTAACCCAGCATGATGATATAGCCAGTCTGACAGAAATAAGGAAAGTAAACAATGGAGAGCACATAGTAAGTGTGCTTTTGGCTCTTTTGTCCGTTTGAATCCATCTCACCAGTGCTGCGCCATCAAATGCATGCAGAGTTGTTTCAGCTTGTTAGATCAGACGTGACTGGTACGGTGTTGTGATAGATGTTCGTTGCTCTCAATGGTATCATATAAATTAGAGGTCGATCTGGGTCTTCCCTCTGTATGCCGATTGAAGACGAGTCGTTTGAAGGTGATTTTAATCCAGGTCGCTTGCTGAGTCCTTTGACATGGGTCAATGGGGGTCAGCAAGCTGTGCCCACTGTCACTAAAAGCTGATTGTTTGTTGGTTTAAACTACTTTTTGAACAAAGAGAAAGAGGTATATGTCCTGTTAGGTTTACCAGCAAGGGGGCAACAGTTGACTGATGATTTTGTAAAAAAAAAAAAAATCTATTTATAAATATATTAGTATATATTTCAAGATTATTTCTAAACGTGAAATGATCTTGTTTGTTTTGCCAACAAAATTTAAGTATGCCAATTATAAAGATAACCAGTTAACTCACTAGTCTGTGATGTGAGATTTGTTTTTTGTTAATATGTTACTCCTAAATTAGGCATTGATAACACCCGTCTCTACAAAGTTATTTGCAAACATGTGCATGCCCGGTTGCTGACTTCAGCTGCTGGGCCTCATGTATTATAAATATATAATATACTCCTACAGGATTAGGATCTCCATGTAGGAAATAAATAAATCTTTGTGTCCTGTTACAGATTTTCTTAGTCATACACAGCATGAGGATGGATCTAATAAAAACAAGCTTACAAAGCTTTATGCACAGTTCCTTATTGAATGTAGTGTTTTAAAAGGACCATGGAGGACTGTTAAGTTTATATAAAGTTTTACATCCAATCTTTATTTAATTGTAGGTCCCCTGCTCAGAAATCCTATTATTCCATGTAGATCATTGAATCCACTTCTGTGACACAGGAGACATTTGTTGGCCTGTGTTGCTAAGTGACACAAACAGGTCTACATTATTCAGGATATGTACATAATGGGGAGACATATGTTTGAATCATATCTTCCAATTTTTTTGTTTTAGGTTAGCATCCTTGACTCAAAGAGGGGCATGAATGTGGGCATTTTCCTCAAGCAGTTTAAGAAGTAAGTCATTCACCTTTTACCTAAAAAATGTTTAAGTTATAGGTGTTAAATATTGATATTTTTTTATTTATAACAGTGTTTTGAGGATTTGCATGCCTATGATTGGCACTTTCATACTGTTTGCAGTGATGGTTAATATATTAATTTATAACGAGTTTTAATGAGAAAAAAGAAAGCATGCCTTCAACACCTTTGAAGTGTTTATCAGAAACAAACTGCACTTTGTTGAGAAGTTAACTTCCCTCACAATATTTTTGAATGTAGCTCTACTGTAAATCTCTGGTCACTCCATAAATAGATTTCAGTTCATTCCTTTGTGTTTAGCTTCATAGTTCTTTCTTGTGTTCTCTTTTGTGTACTTTGGTTTAGATTCTTATGTTAATATTAGACTCTAGTGACTAGGGCTGGGTATTGTTCAAAAATTTTCGGTTCCGGTACCAATACCGATACCTTCACTTCGATACCGGTTCCTGAACGATACTTTTTTCGAAACAGTTTTATAATATCAATTCGAAAAAAAAGAAAATTACACAACATAAATCAAATCTTGAGTTTTATTTTAAGCTCTGATTTTTCCATTTACATTTTTCCTCTTACATAAAAAAATAAATTTCAGTGTCTAATATTCACTGTTACATTGTGAGGACCTTTTTACTTAGCAGTTTTCCTTTAGAAAAATTACCATGTCTGACAAACAAGCCCGTTGAATAGGAATCCTACTGACAGAGCACCGCTGGTATGTGGGGGTCTGAGCGGCTCCCACAGAAATATTTATTGGAAGGCAGGATGAACTGCCTGCACTGATTAAGTTTTCAGGTGGATTTTCCCACTTAAAAACATAATAAAACTACTTTATTCCCACTGATCACAGCAAATATAGCTGCAAGGAGAATAAAGGATAGAGTAGCCCCGCCAAACGCGCATCAGACCCACTTTTCGACCGCGCAGCCAGAGCAGCAAAGCTGCTTCAGCCGCGTGTCAGAAGCTGGTACAAGCAGCAAAAAAGGAAGCAGCAGACGTGATTTTGCTGCTCCTGCTGCGTCCAGTTTGAAAGCAGCATTCTCCAAGAGTGTCTCACATTATTCACTCTGCTCTGGCTTTGCGCTGCCCACGGGCTGATGAGAGGAGGATGGTCGCGCTGGCTGCGGTCCGCTCTTCTTGCAGTCGAACACTGAGCAACTTTCTGCTCTTAAATTGTTTCCGTGCGTGATGTATTGCATTGCGCACTATTGGCATCAGTCTTAATAAAGTGAAGCCGCACTTTTGACCTGGAAGGCATTTTAAAGGGGTTCCACGATGCTCGCAACCAGTTCACAACAAGATACACATGAACCCTGGCTGTAGGCGGGACCACCTGTGTATTTTTCCTGGATGACGCAATCACGTTAAGTGTTACAGCCAATCACCGAAGCTTGGTACCGAAAGACGAGGCATGTTTCGATACTCTGTAGAACCGAAGCATTTCGGTCGGTACCATAAAAGAACCGAAGTTCGGTTCCCAGCCCTACTAGTGACTGGTAAGTTGAATCTCTTGTGTCTCCAATTAGCTTCCTCTGTGCCCATTTTTCAAATTTTTTTTCCAGCAGCTCTGTATTCTGTTGATTATACTCAAATGGCTCCCATTTCTTTCATCGATTCTGCTGTTGATTTCATCTTGGTTCCTGGTTATCTTTATGTCCCTTAGAAAGGTGTTGTCATGTTACACTGCCTGGACAAAAAAAAAGTTGCCACCTGGATTCAACTAAGCAAATAGGTACGAGCCTCCTATTGGATAATTACTGCATGGGAGATTATTTTTCAGCTGGCAACAAGTTATATAACCCCAACTGGTGCAATGACTTGCTTTTCATTTCCTAAACAAACATGTCAAAAGACACATCCCATTGTCGTGGAAAAGATGTTAGTCTGTTTTAGAAGAGTCAAATCATTGGCATGCATCAAGCAGAGAAAACATCTAAAGAGATTGTAGAAACTACTAAAATTGGGTTAAAAACTGTCCAACACATTATTAAAAACTGGAAAGATATTGGGGACCCATCATAATCAAGAAAAAATGTGGCCGGAAAAAAATCCTGAATGATCGTGATCGGCGATCACTTAAACGTTTGGTGAGATCAAATCGAAGAAAAACAACAGTAGAACTCAGGGCTATGTTTAATACTGAAAGTAAGAGCATTTCCACACACACAATGCAAAGGGAACTCAAGGGATTAGGACTGAACAGCTGTGTAGCCGTAAGAAAACCACTAATCAGTGAGGCTAACCGGAAAAAAAGGCTTCAATTTGCTAGGGAGCATAAAGATTGGACTGTGGAGCAATGGAAGAAGGTCATGTGGTCTGATGAGTCCAGATTTACCCTGTTCCAGAGTGATGGGCGAATCAGGGTAAGAAGAGAGGCAGGTGAAGTGATGCACCCACCATGCCTAGTGCCTACGGTACAAGCCTGTGGGGGCGGTGTTATTATCTGGGGTTGCTGCAGTTGGTCAGGTCTAGGTTCAGCAACAGTATGTGCTCAAAGAATGAGGTCAACTGACTACCTGAATATACTGAATGACCAGGTTATTCAATCAATGGACTTTTTCTTCCATGATGGCACAGGCATATTCCAAGATGACAATGCCAGGATTCATCGGGCTCAAATTGTGAAAGACTGGTTCAGGGAGCATGACACATCATTTTCACACATGGATTGGCCACCACAGAGTCCAGACCTCAACCCCATTGAGAATCTTTGGGATGTGCTAGAGTGGGCTTCGCGCAGCGGTCAGACTCTACCATCATCATTGCAAGATCTTGGTGAAAAATTTATGCAACACTGAATGGAAATAAATCTTTTGACATTGCAGAAGCTTATTGAAACAATGCCACAGCGAATGCGTGCCGTAATCAAAGCTAAAGGCGGTCCAACAAAGTACTGGAGTAAATTACCCTTTTGTTTTGGTGGCGACTTTTTTTTTGGCCAGGCATTGTATATGCCAGGGTTCTTCCCAGCGTAGATAGCCACTAAAGTTCCACTTCAGCTAAGTTACTGAGCCAGTTCCATCTGGCCTGCCTCCCCCAGTGATCTGTGCAGCATCTAAACCAAGGTTGTAAAAATTGCACTAAAATTAGGCCAACCAGCTGGATTTTATTGACCGTAACGGCTGTGGATACAAGTTTATCTCTTTATTTGCACATGTGAGAAAAGCGCTATGAAAACATCCTTCAGATGGTCATTAACTTGGACTCACTCTGAATCCTTCTAGGAAGGTGAAAATATGTGCTTCATTCGGCCAGCAGACAAAAAGCTAACTTTTAAAACAGGGCTTGAGTGTCCAGGTTTGGAAGGATTCCTAAATTGCTGGTCTTTCAAGTGAAACTGACGGATGCTCAATAATTGCAATAATGCTGCGCCGGTGGGTTGCTGCTAATTATAACTGCGGATGTTCTGGGGGACAGTGATTCGCCTGTGCCATGTGCCTTCAAGTCGTTTGCCCATAGGAAGACGTTACTTGGATATAACCTAACTGAATATCTTCAGAACAGCTCCAAATGACACAAAACTCATATGGGTGAGTGGAACATGATGTTATAGTGTAAAATCAAGGGCCCAATGTAAAAAAAAAAAACGGTGTTTCCCTTTCATAATAATTGAACTTTATTGATCTCACATTGTGGGGCAGTGGTGTCAGGTTAAGGGGTTTTGCTCAGGAACCCAGAGTGGAGGTGCACAAGCGGACTGCTTTAACCCACTAGGCCAACACCCCCCGTCCACTGCAGGTGGATCAGAGCAACGTCTCACACGGTCTCTCTAATTGTTTGCATATTATAAGTTGATATGAACATCGCCTTTCAACATGGAGGTGAGATGGAGAGAAAAAAGGAGTGGGCTCAATTAGCAAAGAGGCAAATATCAAAGAAGACATAGGTGCAGCAGAGAATAAATAAAATGGCTTCCTCTCACTTCCACACTTATAAAAATCCTGGTGAGAACCCACCCATACAAAAAAGATCATAAACCACTCAATCATGACGAAATCAGGTAATATATGGCAAGCGTCCTCCGACCAGCCCTCTGATCCTCAGTGGTCCTCCTTCCACCTCAAGTAGTTAGCCTCTAGAGGATGGCCTCAGCTTTTGCAGACTCTTCTTGCAGCGCTGGGTTTGATGCATAGTCTGTTGTGTAAGTTCTCTCCAGGTACTCCTGATTCCACTCACACTCCAAAACATGACGGATTAATTGGCGTCTCTAAATTGGCTTTAGGTGTGATTGTGCATATCTAAAGTCGAGGCTAAGCTTGTCTTTACCATTCTACAATCAGGTTTGCCATAAATGCTCCTTTCAGTACACACCACTGCACTCTGTAATCATCTGTCAACTGGCCCTTCCATCACAATCAACGACAACGACAACAACATCGTAATTTACAAGACCTTTCTCGGACGATCACCACCTTATTTAGGTCACCTGCTGCAGTTTACAGTCTACAATTACTTATACCCTAAACCAACACTACTTTTGGTCTTGCTTATTTTCAATCTGCTGCCGCTCGTGACTGGAACGCTCTGCAAAATATTATTAAACTAGATAGACTCATGACAATTTCATCCTTCAAAACAATTATATCTTCCTTGTTCACAGACACTTGCAGCTGCTTCTCTGCATAGACTTTTTTGGGTTGTCAGTTGTGTTTTAAATTGTATTTTATTTATGTATTACTACTTACTAAGTATTACTTATGTATTGCTTTTATTTTGGCCCTACTTCCCTTTTCCTAAGTGGTAAATAAGAACTTGCTCTTAATGAGAACTTGCTCTTAATGAGTTGCCTATAAAAATAAAGTAATAGAAAAAAGAAATTCAGCCCAATCATAAAGTTCATTCCAGCCATTGTTCCAAGATAGTTGGATATCATTAAATATGAAAAAAAAAACTAAAATAGTGACAACTTAGTTTAAAATTACTCCAAGGCAGGAGCTAATTGAAACTATGTGCCTTGCCATTTACACAAAATTATGTAAAAGGTGGTTGATCACAAATGATAAAGAAATGTATGAAAAGACTGGATGCCTTTCATTTTACCGGATACTATTTAGATATGGCAACATATAGCATTCAAGAAATGTTTAAGAGAAACTTTAAAACAAAGCATTTTACACAGATAGTTGACAGATTTGAAGCTGTTTTGGAGCATAATGAACTCATGCTATCACACATTAGATTATCTCTATTTTATCTTCTATCATTACTCTTTATATGGATGCTCCATATTGATTTTATAACTGTTAGAAAGTCTAATATAACTCATTTACCTTTTTAGATAGTATTTCAATTGATAGACAGACTTAAAAAAAAAAACAAAAGAAAGAGAAAATTTAAAAAAGAAGACGCAGAGTGTGTCTGGATCTACTGGCAGCGTATGGCAACATCCCTAAAAAAAGATGCTAAGGTTTATACTATTCTTACTTGTTAAGTTAAGATAAAATGAAATAGATTTCGGGCCTCTTTTTCTGTCACCTTGGTTTCATGTTACTTTCCAAATAAAATGGAAATCAACTTGAAATTATGACACTGAAATGATTGGCTCTGAGAATTTTATTTTTATTTTTAGCAGTCTATAGTTTAGATTAAATGTTAATCCCAAAGTGAATTCGAGCGCACTGACACAGAGAGTTGCACTGCAGTTTGAAAAGTGTTTCTATGACAACAGATTTGCATAGTTCTCCAATACATTTTAATGAGATTTGACTGAGCCATATGTTAGTCTTGCCTCACTGCAGCTTTGTTTTGTTACTGCTCTGGACTTTTTATTTATTTATTTCACATCACCCATATTTGACTGTTGCTAAGTCTAACACATAATATTCACCTTAATGGAATTCACAGCTAATTTTAGCCACTTTGCTTGTTGATCTTTAGGTGGCATTGAAATTATTATTTACAACAAGAATCCAAATTTAAAAGAAAACTGTTATTCCAGTTGTTTTGTGGTCGTACTTTTCATTGTTTAAGACAATTTTGATGGTTCCTATTTTTCTTTTACAATTTATTTTATTTTTTTGCTTTTATTACTTTGTCTGTTCTATGGTTTATTTTAGTTAGGAGTCTGTACATGTTAGTGAATATGCTAGTTTAAGACGCTGTTGATGGTATAATGACACAGAAGTTTCTAAGTGAGAGAGAAATGGGAGGACATTTGCTCTAAAATTATTTGTGCCTTTTAACAAAAAGCTAAACTTGTAGTTTTTCCAGAGGTAGAAAATATGCAATGTGAATCACAACCATTGTTAAACCATAAACAGACTACTTGATGTAAACTCATTACTTTACAAGAAATATTAGTTTGACCCAAAACCATCATATTAAACAACCTTGCTCAGGGATTATGACAAAATGCAAGGAAAGGACACAAGCAAACAACTATAGATATGTATTTACCTGGCCAGCCATACTCTCCAGTCAGAGCCTCAACCAATCACAGCACAGAAGGGGGCCCATAATGCAACAGCACTTTTCTGTAACCATACAGAGCAATGTGGTTTTTTTGTTGTTTTTTTTTTAAGTCCCGAAAGTGTCAGGGCAGGGTTGTGGGTTTGTTGACCAAAATGCAGAAATCCAGAGCTGAGCAGCATGATAGATTCTTGAGATTTATTAACCAAAGGAACTTAGGGGGGACTGACGTGGAGCAGGCAGACAAACAATGAAGACATAGCTGAAAAGCTGACTGTAACCCTGGGGAACAACGCAGATGATTCATTAAGACAGAGAGAGGAATGTAAACGTTAATACAGGAGAACACAGGTGCAGGTTATAAGGGTGAACTGAATCTACTAAATACTGAAAAGAAACTATCCAAAAATATTGGATTTACCAACTAAGGTACAGACAAAACCAAATGGAAAATAAGCAAGACAAAATAAACTGGAAAATAACTCAAAAGGGTACATATAAGAGAACTGGTGTACACAAGATACTTAAAAGACTCATAAGAACCCCAAACCATGACAGAAAGAGCTGTTGATATTGTAAAAATTCCAACATTTGGCTGCTATAAGTTTTTCTTAAAGAAAAAGATTTTGCGTCATATCTGTTTCTGCTGACTCTGTTTTGGTGCGTTCAAACCAGACACGGTGTCCGCTCCAGTTGTGGTGGTTTCACAAAGAATTCCTTTGCAAACCTTGGAAGGATCAGGAAGAAATAAGGAATGCTCTCAAGAGGTCTTTAGGTGGCATTTAAAAAAAGCCATTTTGATTTAGTTCCTGATGACCATTAAGTGTACAAGTCCATAATAATAAAGGACAACCATTCAGTATATTTGCTTAGTTTTTTCACGTCAGTGGGGTTTCAGCTTTAAGCAACTGAAGCTTTTTCTGTTTGATGATGCAGTCCAGGGTGTAAACACTGTGCATCTGAAAGGCAGAGTGGTGAACAACCTGCGGGGGTAACGGAAATCACCACGGACACCGCGTCTGGTCTGAATGCAGCACTGGTCTCCTGTTTTAAATTGGGCTCTACAAGGCGTAACTTAGTCTGGGTGGCAAAGTCAAATATTTGTTTAACAATAATAAAAAAAAAAAAAAACGGCAATACTTTAGTTTGTGAATGCCAGTAAAATCAGGCACCGCAGTGTGAATCAGTGAAAATGTTTAAATAACAATGTTGATTGTTAAACCAAGTAAACCAAACAATCAAGTCAGACTCTAACCGGAATCAAACCCAAATAAAAGCCAATCCAGTCTTCTCAAAAATTTGAAGTGATCATATAGTGCCAATTTTTAAAAGTTTTCTGCCTAAGAATGTTGAGCTGATTGCAACTTGTTATCACAGCAATCCCTCTATCTGCGCAAGCAGGTGGTGACAGTGGAAAGGAACGACTTCCTTTTAACAGGAAAGAAACTCCAGGAGAATTTTACTTTGAGATGCTATCTGGAGCTCATGGGTAAAACTGTAAAACAAAAAAGCAGAATTAACATAAAATTTAGATTTAACTACAACCAGTCAGATTGTAAACTTCATCAAAGCACATTTTAATTCTATTCTCAAAGGTAGACAGTCTGTCCTGATTTCACAAGATCACTAATTTAAAACTGAACATGGTTATTTAGGGTTTATTTTCTATGATACTTTTCTGTTATTATTCACAGCTGAAAATACACGTAACTTTACTCAACACTAGATGTGTCCTTAAAATTACATTTTTTTTCCTGAAAAGTAGAGTTACAACAGATTTATTAATCTCTCAACAAATCTATTGTTTTTTTATACTTCTTTAATTAATAAAGGAAATTAAACTTACTCTCAGTTTAAATTAATTGCCTTTAAGCAGTAGCCAACTGTGATCAACTTCAAAAAGCCTCTATAAAGACTGCTAAAGCTCACTTTTAGATATTGCAGTTAATTCTGGCTTCTTGGGAAAAAAAGTATGTTAAAATCTGTATGATATGAGATGTTTTCCACATGTGTAATTCGTTTTTCTAATGTAGTCATCTTGAGCCTCTGCAACACTTTCTTTGATCTTTTCTGTTCTTTTGTCACAAAAAGAGTCAGTAGACAATCAGAACAACTTTATATTTGGTGCATTTGAAAGCATGAGGGAGGAACATCCATTCACAGAAAGCACCTGTGCAGCTTGAGTAAAACAAGATTTTTGTCTTTTAGGTCAAATTGCTCCATTGTTGAAGACATTCAACGTGGAGAAGGAAAGGTTTACGGAGCTGAGCTGCTCAAAGACCTGATGAAGCTCTTGCCTGATACAGAGGAGGTCTGTCTTTTTGTCCTGTGTTGACATATAAAAGGCAGAAATACAAATCGAAGACATTGTGTCTGATGTAAAAGAAAATAATAGATCCTGCTCAGCTTCCTCTTCCTTTTTGTCTTTTATATGCAGATCAAGAAACTGCAGGCTTTTAAAGGAGACCCAGACAAGCTGACACTGGTTGATTCTTTTATGTACCTGCTAATCCAGGTGCCACGGTAAGTTGCTTTCAATAGGGGGGCCAGTGCTTGTATAGAAGCTTCCTTCAAAGGGGAATCTGGAGTCAGCAGTTTAAGAGGGTTTATCCTAAAATGCTGCGTGAAGACAGTTTCATAACCTACCTGGGGAGTTTCCAGGAGGTGGAAAATGTACTACTGACTACAACAATAAAACCAACATTTTTAAACAAGATATGAGAATTTCAAATTTTTGATTATTTTGGAGCACTAAACAGTTTATCCAGCCCTACACTCCAAAAGACCTCAGTCTCCTCAGCAGGAAAAGTCTGCTGTTTCGTATAACGGTCAGAGCACTGACATGATAAAAGGAGGAATGAGCAATAATTCCATCATCAATTGTATGATAAGCCTCACAACCAGTTAACCCCAATCATACTGAATAGGCTTTCTGCCAAATACTGAGGAGATGTGTGCAAACTCACTTTCACTTTAATAACCTTGTATTATTGTGGCATTCGGCAAATAGTTTACAATGTTTTTGTTATCTGGACTGACCTAGAATAGAAAGAAGTCAATCCGGTATAATCACATAAGAACAATGGTCCCTGCTCTTTATAAAGTGTATTGCAATATCAGGTTTTCAGCTTTAAGTATACAAAGTTAGAAAAAAAACAAATTGTTTCCCCTGATGTTTGAAATAACAACAAATGTATGCTTTGTTTGGAGACACTCAGAGGTGGAGACTCTACCTCGTGTTTTATACTATCACTACTTTGGTTTGAAGGTTTGAAGTTCGGATCGAGGCCATGGTCCTCCAGGAGGAGTTCTCACCCTGTAGTTCTGCAATGAGTCATGACATCGATGTCATCAGAGCTGCTACTGAAGGTATGTTGCACCAACTCTGCTGCAAAACCAAAGGTGTTTACGTTTATACAGTGGTCCCCTAATCTATATGTATATGTGTATAGATTTTGTAAAACCCCTAAAACTGCCAACTTAAAGTGGTGAAGGGGCTTCAGCGTTTGAATGATCTCAGAAGCTATTTTGTCGAGTGCTTAAATCCCCCCTGGTATAGTCTCCCAATGCAAATATGCTCTGCCTAGTGGCTCACACAAAGAGCAGCTCAAGAAGCTCGTATGATGACCAGAAAATCACAACACATGACTTCATCCAGTACGGAGCTGGGACCTCACCCTGGAGACAGGCCTTGGGTTGGGGCTTGCTAGCGGGCCAAGCCAGAAGGAGTGACGCTAGACCATCCCCCAGTGGGCCCACCACATGCAGGATGAACTATAAGGCACTGGTGCTTGTAGGTTTGGGCAGCATTCAGAGGCCTCCATGACCTGATCCACAGATGCTTAAACTGAACCCAGTTCCTTAAGAGAGGCTGGGCTGTCTTCTACTAAGGAGAAAGGCATTAAGTCTGACCTGTTCCTGGTGCCCTCCACCAAGGCTGCCCTCTGACACCAGTCCTGTTCATAACCTTTATGGACAGGGTTTCAAGGCACAGCTGAGGATCGGAGGTGGTCTGGAGGGGAATTCCTGCCTCAAGGGGGGGAATTCAAGTATCTTGGGTTCCTGTTCGTGAGTAAGGCGAGAATGGAGAGGGAGATTGATATACGGATGGGGACAGCTACTGCTATAATGCAATTGCTGCATCGGTCTGTTGTGGTAAAGTGAAAGCTTCTCGAAAAGGCAATGCTCTCAATTTACCGGCTGGTCTACATAAATACATAAATCCAGATTTAGGTTCCTATACTTACTATCAGCTTTTCTGTGTGGTGGTGCTTTATAAAATGTTTTCATCTGGAGTCTCTAATATGTTCCCTTCTTTCTGTAGAGTTGATGAACTGTGAGGAGCTTCATGCTGTCCTTCATCTTGTGCTGCAGGCTGGAAACATCATGAATGCTGTAAGATTTTTTTAGCACGTTTAAACACTTCAATCTATAAAGCAGATTTTGAAATTTTTGAAATTGCATTTCATGAGAATATTTGACGTTTATTTGATTGTTTCATGCCATCTTTTTTCTCTAATGATATCTTGTTCATATTGCAGAGAGATTTGATTGATCATTTCTGTCAAATATCTATCTTTTCACAGGGTGGCTATGCAGGTAATGCTGTTGGATTTAAGCTGTCCTCTCTCCTCTCTTTGGCCGACACCAAGGCCAACAAGCCCGGAATGAACCTGCTGCATTTTGTTGCCATGGTTAGTAAACCTTGCAGTTTGATGCATGATGTGTTCAAGTGTACAGAATAAAATATCCATCCGTCCATCACTCTATCCAGCCATAGTCTATATTGCTTCCCCTTTTAAATATTTGAGATATCCATCACTGTTCAAACATATTGAAGCAAATTTTGTATTTCTTTGTTTTTGCTCATGAGATAAAATATTTTTTCCAAAACATTTTATGCAATGAATGTTTTTCACATTTGATTAACTTAAGCTGATGCTTTAACATTTTTACTCCATTACCTGAATATTTTCCAATGATTTATATTTTCACTCATCAAATAATATATATGCTGATATATCTATTAAATTAATCTTCATGATGATGAAGGAACAATTTTAGAATGACATAATATATTAACCTGCTAGTTATTTTTTTCCTGAGCAATAAAAATAACAGCAGTTGTTATAGTTTCTTTTTCAAGGCATCAGCCTTTGTTTTTATTAGACATTTTTATAGCTGAGAATAAAGACAGCTATCATGACCAAGACGTTCTCCATGGAGGCACATATGTGTGGGATATGAGACAGACATGTAGCAGCCCCCACAGTCTTCCTTATGGAGGGATTGTTGCCTCTCTTTTCTTCTTAAAGAGAGTAAATATTCTGTAAATTACTCCAGCGATCACAAATGCAGTTATTTTAACAGAATGAAGTTCAATTGTGTCTCTTGATCGATTTGATATTGAATAAAAATTATGTCAAAATATTTCTTCTGTTTTTTTTTGTTTTTTTTTTTAGCAATGATCATCTGAGAATTTTGTAATTTAAAAAAATAAATGATATTTGCTGAATTAGCTACTTTTTCAGTGATTAGAATAAATTTCAGGTAATGCATTTATAACCGTTTTATTATTGGATCAAAACATTTGTGTTTGTATGATATTGTTTTCTAACCATGAAAATGTTTCATACCAGACAAAAATTAGACTGAAAACAAAGTAAGAGCTTGTAAGAGTCAGGAAACCCAACAGAAGTACATCAGATGTTATGAGATGTTGTAATTAAGGCATTTGGGTTAGCAGCTGTGATAGAGTCAGGAAATATACCAAAACTCAAGCAAAAAATAAAAACTACAAATCTTTGTTGAATGAAGGACTATTTATCTGAGAGGGGCCTCTCCAGGTACTCTTTAATTAATAATTGAACTTTATTGATCTCACATTTGGGAAATATACCTCTGCTTTTAACCCATCCCCTTGGGGAACAGTAGGCTGCTAACCACTAGGCCACCACTTAACACAGAAAATGCAATAATGATAGATTCAGTCTTCAGAGGGTTAGTCAGGGCAGAGAGAGGCAGACCTCTTAGACCTTTTCAATGAGTCAGACAGAACTCTGTGGTCAGGACGCAGAAACAAGGTCTATTTCCAGTGATCAGAAACTTGGTAGAAATCAGTAAAGGGCCGGGAAGAAAGGGCGAATCCAGGTTAGGTGAATGAGGTTGTAGTGTAGAGATCAGATGAGGACTAGGAAGAAATGCTGGATATCTAAACAGAACAACTTTTGATTATTAAGCAAATAATTATTGACTCAGATACCTTCAATAAGACAGAGCTAAGGTAGAAGATATAATCTTCTCATCCTTAATTGAAAGATTTGTTTTTATAAAAGGCTCTGCACAAAAATTCGGTAATGGTCTTACATATGAAACAACCCTAAGGTGGTAGGAACTGGCTCACTGGGTGTTAAATACTATGTACTATAGAAATGGATTTATTTAAAGTTTTAGGGATACTATTATTCACAGAAAAATTTTCTACATAAAAAAAGTTTATGTAGAAAATACTATATATACTGCTATGTATATTATTGCTCAACTAATTATGAATTTGATTTTTAAAAGTGACAATAAAAATTACAGTGACATCATAGACTCGAGCACAAAATAGCTCATTACCTCAGTTTTTATCTGAGCTTGTATTGATGGAAATAATATATAGAAACTGCAATATTTTAGTTAAGTAGAATGAGGTTTGAGATGTCATAACTAGTGTTGCACCGATATCGATACCAGTACCGGGCGGGGCCCCGATCCGGCACTAAAATGGTGGTATCGGCGAGTACCGACAAATAGGGCACCGATACCATTTTGAGAGCCAAAAGTAAAATAAAAAGTAAAATAAAAAGTAACTAAAATAAAAAGTTCCTCTGGATTTAGTTTGTATTAGTCTTTTTCCTGCTTCACAAAGGTAGGCAGCAGCTTGACAAAGCCATGATGGCAATTATTTTACATCCAAGTAGTATGCAATTCCTCATATATACACACACACACATTAGTTTCAAATAGATGGTATCGGTATCAGCCAATACGGCACAGCCAGGTATTGGGTATCGGTATCGGGGCCAAAAAATGGCATCGGCGCTACACTAGTCATAACAATGCTGTCATGCTGAGATGCATCCTCACTCCAAAAACTTTAGACCTAATGTAGGAGGAAGAAAAAACTCCAAACACTGTGATTCTGAGGGCACACCTGACCCCATCTGCTCTGAGCAGATGGTGTCAGGAAGCAGTAAAGAGCCAAACTGTTACCTAACCAAATTAAATGTCTGTGCTGCTTCAATACAGCAAGCATTCTGCTTTATCTTTCCCAGTATTTAATGTTTTAATGCATATTATATAATGTTTCCCCACACAGGAGGCAAAGAAGAAAGATGAAAAGCTGCTAAAATTTCCAGAGAATTTGCAGCATGTGCAAAGCGCTGCCAGGTGAGCAAACATTTCCCTCTGCTCTTTACATTTGAAATTGAATACATTTGTATGCTGGACCTTTCAAAAGTGTTAAAAGTAAGTTTGACCTTGTTTAGATTTTTTTTCCTATTTGTCTTTTTTGTCTATTTTTGTCTATTTTTTCTATTTTATGAAATAGTCCAATGAATAATACAGTTAAATTATAATGTGAAACTTTAAAATGATCCATGCACTTATTCATCTGTCATTCAACTGTCTTTAACAGTTTGTAAATATAAAGGTGTCCCATTCCTCTTTACAAGATAGCCAAAGCTCAGTCAGAATGGATGAAGAGCTGTTGCAAACATCGGTTTTCAATCCATGTTAGCACATAATGCTTTTATCTAACTCATGATTATAATTCTGGTTGTAGGTTTAGAGTTATTTTTATCTAGCCCTTGTTAGAGACAATAGTTCCCTCAGAAGGAGGTGCCAATCCTCAGCACTTTTTTGAATCACTGTAATCAATGTAATCGAAACATTTGTTTTCTGACAACCCTTAGTTTTTGTCACCCAATGTTTCAAATTCAGCTAAATATTGAAAAAAAAAAAGAAATTACTTCACTGTATAAATCTAGAAGATTTTATCTCTATGTCTCATGAATAAGTCTTATGTAAGGGTAAGAAATTATATCCTTAGTTATAAAATCATCATTGTTTCATTATTTAATGTTAACATTGGATAATTTTTGCATAATGGGTGCATTTAATTTACATTTTCTACAGCTATACTCCAGTAACATATGTTGAATATTTTACTGACTCATTTCTTAATTGACTAATAAGGCTAAAAAGCCTCTAACCCAAATTCAGAAATACTTGTTGGTCAGATGTTCTAATATATCAGAAAATCTTAAATGCATCTTAAAGTATCTTTATTTTTTCCTGTTTTACATCCTAACTCAGATCTAGAGAATGTACTGAGTCTGTCAGCCAAATTCTATACAGGTTCCCAAAAAATCCAGTTTTTTCCATAGATTTAGTTCACACTTAGACTGGAACTGTTATGAAGGTATTTACTTAATAATTTTTTCCCCATTCATTAGGGCCTAATATCTGATATATCTATACATTCTTCCAGCTGAGCTTTGATCTCTATAGCTCCTCTAGGAAAACAATGGGCCTCCTGGCTGCTTCTTTGATTTTTGCTCTGGCTGGTTGGCCTGTCAAGTTCTGTTTTTTTCTGTTTCTGATGAAGAATCCAACAGATCTCAGTGTAGTGCTTAAATCTTACATTTTTGTATCCTAACACTGCTTTCAACCTTTTGACAAATGTAACTTTGGCTTTTTTCCTTGGTCTTCATGATGCTGTTTGTTCACTTATGTTCTCTAACAAACCCCTGAGCTCTCCATAAAACAGCTGTGCTCTGGGGAGAATTGGTTGCACTGGGTTTTATGTAGTTTTTTTTTTTTTTTTTTTTCAGATTAAAGGTGTTTGAGTACCTGATCTGTTGGCCTGATCTATTGAAGGTTCAATAAAAAAGAAAAAAAAAAAAATCAAGTAAATAAAACTCGATAAAATGCTCCTGAAATGGGGAAATAGTACGAGGTTTGAATACATTTGCAAGCCACCGTCTACATTTATGAAGATACAGTATAAATCTACTAGAAGAATCTAACCAATCCTTAATTGCACGGGAAGTATTAGGCTCTTCCAGCATAATTTGTAGTAGTCTTCATTCAGCTTTTATTTGTGCAATGTTGCTAATTTGACCTAAATTTGGCTTATTTAGTTAACAAAATATGGGAAATTATAGTTACTCTGCAAAGGGAAGACATCTCTTGTTCTGTTATGATGTAACAAGTTTAGATGTCGGTTTAATAAAATCTTTATCTTTGAATTGTAAGCTTATAAAACTAGTACCATTTGTAGATGAGTGACTGACTCAGTTTGAACCATTGATCAAACATGGGAATGGTCAAAGCATCTTGTAAAAGATCAATTATGATAGAAGTTTGATTGAAAGGACAGCCAATATATTTGGTTCAGATTATTAAAAGGCTATGCTTCTGTATGATTGAACAGACAAAGTCATGCTGAATATACTTTAAATTGTGTTTGAAGAGCCTCGTTGAATAAGCTGGCTTCAAACTTCTGCCGCTGTGTGACTCCGTCTGGCTTCGGCAGATTTCCAAGGTCGAACGTGTATGGCATCAATGCAGCTGCTGCACTGCAGAGCAAAAATCGCTTCTCCTCTCAGGACCTTTCAGGATCACTGTCTTCAGTTTTTAAAGTCTGACTAAATTAGCAGAACTGACTGAGCTTGTGGTTTGTATTAATCCATATTTATTAGCTTTCCTGGTATTTTTCTGTTTCCCTGCAGAATTTCAGTGGAAAACATTGAGCTGGAGTTTTCCTCCTTATATGTCCGGATCAAATCCCTGGAGGAGAAGGTCCAAGGAGATGAGCAGTTACAGCTGCAACTGGAGCCATTTCTGCAGGTGAAGCTGCAGCATTTGTTACACAGATAAAAGTTTGCACAACCTCCTTACTGAGAGGTCTTGATACAGGAGAGATAAAGCCTCTGTGTGTGTTGTGTGAAGTGAGTGGGTCTGCCTGGTAGAACATTTGGACTGCTTCAATCCCAGATCGGTTGACAACTGAGCAAGCAACATACCATAACCACACCCTAAACTTCTTTCTTCATTATAAGCAGTCCCAATGAGCATTCCTGCTTTGTTTTGGTCTGCACCAGTCCTGCACTGTTTTGCTTTTTCAAATCCGTATCCAACCACACATGTAGAGCTCAGAACCCAGACCCAAACCGTTTTACCTAAAGTTATACCTATTTAAAACTGCAATAGAACTGTAGAATAACAGAATAGTAATAATAAAATAATAGAATGGTTATAGAACACCTCCCGGCTTATGATCACAATGTTTGCACACACTTTTTACTTTGCTTTTTATTCACAAAGTGCTTTATTTTATATAGCCTCAACAGAATATTTTCTTAACAGCATTTCCTGATGCTCTCTTGCGCATTGAGCTCACAAATGACCAGCAGTAAGCAAGCTGAATTAAGCTTTTTCCTAACAGACTAAACAGAAATGCACACTCATACTTGGGTGTGTACATCACTCAATAAAAATAAGCCTCTTTAAAAAATTTTTTTTTTTTTTCTATTTTACATTAAATTAAACAAAGACAGTATAAGAATAAAATTCACAACTTAGAGTGTGAATAAACTTTTTCAAGAGCATCTACCTCCAACTCCCAAAATACTTTGGAGCTCAAATTGACTTATTCCAGTGTCACTGCTTATTTTATTAACTATGATGTTTACTCACTGATATTTAGGCCTTGAGCATAAGTTTGTTGTACAGAAAAAGATCCCTGGTTCAGCTGCGTATTCCTTTGCTAAATTGCAAACTCAGTGTAATGTACTGGATTCGGACCCAAGATTTTTCCGGTTCCAGTTCCAGGTCTAATATCCGATTAACACAGAGAGTTAAGGGGGCAGGCAGGCTCAGGTACTCACAGGCAGAAAGAGGGTCAGGAGCACAGGTGGTCAATCTGGAATCCAGAATCTGACAGAGCAAAATTCAGACGGGCAGACAAATCAAGAAAGGGATCAGGCAGGCTCAGAAACGGGGGACAAAGACAGGTCGGTTGGCAGGCAGACAGGTTTTCAATAACAAAGTCTGGAAGGTTCTTACTGGGCTGGCTCGAAACGATCTGGCACTGGAGGCTGATCAGGACGGAGCTTATATGCAGGTGGGGAAAGGTGAAACCAGTAGAGGTTGATACTGAACCGGAGTGTTAATTGAGAACAGAATCAGCTCCAAGGCCAGGATCATCACACTGAGCAGAGAAAAATACTCTATGTTCCACCTAAAGCTGGGCGTACACTGTGCGATTCTCGGGGCGATTTTCCAGTCGTGCGAGAATCTTTTGATCGGGTGGACTTTCAGCCTGATCATGCGGCTTGAGTCGTCTAGTGTACAGGGGGTACCGAGGGGCGATCAGTCTCTCACAACCACCTCCCGATCAGGAATTGTGAGGTCGGGAGAATATCAAACATAATTGTCTCCCGACCTTTGTGGGCAAATCGCTCAGTGGGCATGTGCAAACAAGGATTCCTCTTTTTCTTCTTCCTCTCAGATGAAAACACAGACACATGGCGGGGATGCAATGAGCGAAATGGAGTTCTCTCTGTAAAATTGACAGACCATAGTAGCCACATTTGCTCAGCCATGTCTTTGTCCAAATATGTCGCCTTTTCATTTTAGGGCTTTCAGCACAAATTTGCACAAGTTGCCAAGGCTGCGCATTTCACTCTAGTGAGCTTATTATTCCCCTTCTATTTGTTTGGCCTCCGGATAGATGAGTCAGAGCAGCTCCATCTCACTGCAGAGCTGAGTCCGACATGCTTTTTAGTCGTACAGTGTGAGCAGGTAGATCACATGAGAGTGTCTCACACTGTACGCCTAAACCCTGCAGGTTTAGGCGTACAGTGAAAATGATTGAAAAATTCACACAGTCTGCCTTCAATGAAGTATTGGCTGCTCTGTTGAATGCTTAAAATATAGCTAATATCTGGTCATGCTACAGTGAATTCTCTCATTAAGATGGAAAGTTAATAAATAATAAATTATGAATATAAACTATCTTTTATATTGTAAGTTTTTTGTGCTACTCCCCTGCTTTTTGTTTATGTAAATTAATACAGTTTTATTTTCTACTCTTAGCTGAATGTTTACCGCTTATATCCTGCTGTAGCTGTCACTGTCTTGGTTCTGTTATGTTTTCTTTTAAGTGTTCGGTTTTACTTTGCTCCATGTTTTCTAGTTTTATTGGTTTAATTCCTATTTTGTTGTGTTTTCTGGATATATTTGAGTTTTTAGGTTTTTATTTGTTGCCCTCTTGTGTTGGTCTCCTTTTTCCCTAGCTCCTTTCTAGACTCCTCTCTTCACACCTGATCCAAATCAGCTCGTTAGTCCTCTTTGTTTCAGTCTCCCATAAGTACTCTCCTTGTGCAGTTCCTCAGTGCTGGTTCCTCGTCTTACCTCGTCTCTCCTCGCCTTTCCCTGACTCCATGTGCTCTTTTCCCCTGATGTCTCCATGGTTCTGATTTGTGTTACAGTTTTAGTTTTAGTTAGAGACCCTTAAGATGCTACAACAGTACAAACTTGAAATAATTTTCATGAATGTGTATATTTCGAGACGTCTTGTGACAGTTAAGTGTTGAGTGAAATTGGCTAGTGTGTGACGTGAGTCACTTGTAGTGTGACTTGAGAAAAACCATCGTATGACCAAAACAGTTTTATTCCTGATTTATTTTTATCTTCAGATGTGTTGACTCCTAAGTTTTGAAAGTCCCCACATTTAAAAAAAATTTTGTATGAACCAGCCTTTAGATACAGACAGACCTTTAGATCAGTGGCGGCCGGCCCATAGGGGGCGCTGGGGCACCGCCCTCCCTGATAAGAAGAGAGAAACGTAAAATATATTTTTAGAAATTAACTCATAAATGTCAGTTTTACTCTCTAGACTGTGTACCTATAAGCAAAACAAATTATATAAACTACATTTCCCTATCTACTGTCATTAATTTGTGGATTTCCACAGACAGACTCCAACCGTCTCTGTTCTGGGGGCGTTGATCAGACAGCCCCACATTTGCAGAGAATCTGTCAATCATGTACTATTGCTAGGTGAATTTAATGGCCAATCAGCGTCTCAGAACTTTATGGTCTTGGGGCGCTGAAAATACTGCGCTTTAACAGGCTTCTGAACCCAAGCGCAGGTGCAGACAATTAGAGGGAAGATGGCAAATGTAACGACCGAGATGCAGCTTCCACCAAATTCGGTGAGATCCTTATTTATCTACCCGTTTGCCAGAAGAATATCCCTGTTGTAGGATATGAACATTTCATGTCATGGTTATTGTGACTGTGACGAATCCACCTCGTCGCTTAAAACAACCTCTCTAACTTTGCGCGCTACACACACATTCCTGTTATACTGTGTTTGTGAGGACCAATACACTCGCGCAGAGCTCAGTAGCTCCATGAACTTAAAACACACAAGCTGTTCCTTGTTAACTGCTGGCGTATTGAGGGTGCACACTTAATATTTCAGTGGGGTTAGCCGTGTGTGTGTGTGTGTGTGTGTGTGTGTGTGTGTGTGTGTGTGTGTGTGTGTGTGTGTGTGTGTGTGTGTGTGTGTGTGTGTGGGTGTGTGTGTGGGTGTGTGGGGGGTGTGGGTGTGTACGTGTTTATGCTATGGGGACTTGTCATCTTCAGTCTGGCTGCGTCTTTGCTGGGTTCAAACTAGGGGTGTAAATCACATCCATCATGGCGATTCGATTCAGTATCGATTTCCTGGACCAACGATTCGATTATTTTCGATACTCAAGAATACACCACGATTCGATTCGATTCGATTAATCGGTTATTTTTTTTATTATTATTATTTTTATTTTTTTACACCTTACAGGCTAAACAAAGTTTCAAGTTTGAAATAAATCAATGAAAGCTGTAATATCATTATGCATTTTCTTTAGAAACAACAGCAAATAACAGAAGTAGAAAAGTTGCATCAAAAAATACTGCAAAAATACTGCACAATATCAGTGTAATGAGTTCAATGCAATACCTCGGCTCCAGAGAAACTGTCCAACATATTTTTTTAGAATGTAATAAATATACTCAGGAAAGAGAGATGTTGCGTAGAGAGTTAGACAGGAATAAAAATAAACTAGATATAAGGAAATTGTTTCAAAGGTCATCTGGGGATGTAGTTTTTGGTAGTATTTTTAATTTTCTAAGAAGAACGGGTATTTTAGGGAGAATATAATAATTTGTCTGGTCCATACTCCATTCTGGAAGGTGGCGGTAATGCACCTATAAGTTGTTTGCCAACTGCCATTAAATAAAAGAAGAAGAAGAAGGCTCCAGTGTCGACGTCACCGCCCCCTTGAGAGACGCTGCACCTCTCCCAGATTGTAGCTGATTGCAAACAGTGCACCAGACAGGAGGCAAGCTTGTTTTGTTTTTATGACCGAAATTGCGGAAAACAACTCGTGAAGTTTGACCCGCTAGAAGAGCGAGGTGCGCGAGACCGCTGGGACCCTTTTTCCAGCTGAATCTCCGCTCTTTTTGCCCCATTGTCCCTCCGTCGTCGGACTAAACTCGCCCCCACTTCCTCATCGCCTCGGCCGTATCTAGACCCACAGCGTGTAGCCCAGACCACGCTTCAATACTGAGCATAATTTAAAAATGTCTGTGTCAAGCTTGCTGCAACAAACTGCTGTAAGAGTATAACCAGGAAGCGCGGTAGGAGGGCAAAATAGGTTTAGCGGCACCGCAGCACGGGAGGGAGAATTACGCCCAGGAGAAAATGGATAAAAATAGACCGGAGGAAAAAAAAAACATGAATCGATTATCTTGCGGACGTGTCGATGCATCGGATCGTCGGCTTTTGGATCGATGCATCGATACAAAACGATTATTATTTACACCCCTAGTTCAAACCCAGTTTGGTGTAATTGAATAAGTCAATGAATCTGTGTAAAATAATTAAGTTGTAAAAATTATTTGTTTTTGTACATCAATTGTCTGTGGAGGTAATATATGGACAAAACTGATTAATGAGAAGAAATCAGAAATAAGAGAGCCTGAGGGTAGGGGCTTAAACTATTTAATGAGGGCTGTGGGATGAAAAGCGGCAATTTTTATTTTCTGTTTCTTTGTTACATTGCTGGTAACTGGAGGGAGGCTGAGGCCCAGAGTATCTTGTATATGTTTAGTTTCTTTTGCACCCTGTTTTGAGTTTTTGAGCACAATAAATCACCAACACCGGTAACCCGACTGAGCCTGGATTCTTGGAGGCCAAAGAACCCCGTCACAGTGACCCAAATCATCACTGTTACTGTTATTATATAGTAAATTAAATCATTACTGTTAAATTGTATGTATTGTCCAATTGTTTATTTGAATTCTTATTCCGGATTAGTTGGAGACATACACTAGGCTATATCAGCCCCACCAAAAATATTTTTCACCAGCTGCCACTGCTTTAGATTCAGCTGCTGCACATAATGACATCTGTTACAGATTTGATAGATGAGGAAATATGCCTTTGTGTCTTATGTCTGATATCAGGGCTCAGCACAGACGCTGCAGGACTTAAAGAGGCGCAGGCTGGAGCTGCGGAAAGAGGGCAACACTCTCATAGATTTCTTTTGTGAAGACAAAGACACCTTCAAGCTTGATGAGTGCTTCCGCATCTTTCAAGACTTCTGCATTAAATTTAACAAAGCTGTAAAGGTGAGTGTCATTGGAAAGATGAAACAGTTGGTACTCTTGTTGGCAACCCTGGTTAAGTTTGTTAATAGTTATTAAATATTTAGTTTCACCAGATTAACATTGAGAAGTTGTAAACAATTCAGCCCTTGTTTAAAGATTAATCAGTGAGGGGAAAGTGCAAGTTTTATTGTCTTACTAAGTTGTTTTTAAATGTTTTTATAATTATAATTTTTATTTTTTCTGACACTTTTTATGTTTTGTACGGTGACCTTGAGTGTCCAGAAAGGCGCCTTTTTAAATAAAATGTATTATTATTATTATTATTATAAGTTCTAATAGGATGGAAGTGACATGGCAGTCGTATTGTTCTCATTGCCAGATAACTGTCTAGCCCAAATTGTAAATGTTACACATATAAAATGTGATTGCAATATATGAAGAACAGTTGTACTCAAAGCATGGTTTTAGAAAAATCTTTCAGTCCACTATCCCTAATTGGGAAAAGTGGGCAATTGCCTTTCTAGAAACATTTTGCCATCCATAAGTTGAAACTTCATCATCGTGTGGGGAAGCTTTTTTTCCCCCGGCTTGGATAGGAAAGCTTTTCATTTGATGGCAAAATTGAGGCAAATCTAAATTGAGGTAAATCTTAAAAGAAATATGTAAAAATGCTGCAAAAGAGGGCAAAGGTTAAATTCTCAACAAGATGACTATAAAGACCCAGCCATCCATCCATCCACTTTCCTTATCCCAGCTGGGGTCGCGAGGGGTGCTGCTGCCTATCTCCAGCTATCTATGGACGAGAGGCGGGGTACACCCTCAGATCGCCAATCCATCACAGGGCAAGATACAGCCAATGCTAAAACAAAACTATTGATATCAAATGAAATTCAAGTTTAAGACCGGCTCAGTCAAAGTTTAAACATAAATCTAACTCAGAGTCTGTATTAAGACTTGAGAAGGGACATTCACTTTTCTTGTTCATGCAATCTCAATGATCAAGAACTATTTTGGAAAATCTGAATTTTAGAACATATCTCCAAACACTTTCAGCTGTAATTTAGAATGAATTTAGAAATGTGTCGCTGAAAAATATTAACTTAGAATGAGCTATTTGAATTTGCATAGATTTCATAGATTTAATTTCCTGTCATCCCGACTATAATCTACTTTGTTTTGGTGAAATGTCATCATTATAAAATGCTCCAATGTATGTATTTTTAATGAGACAGAATGTTAAAAACAATATAATTGAGCGAGGAGTTTTTTTTTTTTTTTCCCAGGACAACAATGACCGTGAGCTGAGGGAAGCGGCCAGACTGAGGCGACTAAGAGAACTGAAGGAAAAACGCTTTGCCTGGGCGGATGATGACCAGAGCAGCATCTTCAGTCGCAGCAGCAGTGAGAGCGACGTTGAAATGCTCACCAAGGAAGGCCTTCTAGATTTCTTTAAACAAAGATCTCAGAGTCCAAACAGTCCACTTGGACGCTCTGCGAGTGCCCGCCGCCACCGTCACACTATGACCTCTATAGCAGACCGTGAACTCCAGGGATACCTTGAGCTGTTTGCAGGCACTGGGAATCCCACAAATTCCTCCAAGTTTCACAGCCTGCCCCGGTTTGGCCGGCCTCTCCAGAGGAATGCAATGCCATGGATCTTTGGTAACAATGATAGACGAGAGTTGACGTCTCCACATGCAGAAACTGAACCTATTACTCCTCTAGTGGGAGTCTCCTCCTCTGAGCCAAACAACAACGAGAACCTATGCAGCAACAATGATAATTACTCATCTGTTTCAGAGAACAGTGCTCGGCCTCGTTCCTTTTGTGTCTTTCAGAAGCCCCCTCATCTTCCCAATCCAGCAATTACCGGCCATATAAATGTAAGCCTGGAGAAACATACTTTAGTTCGTGGTCCTCAAGCTTTTGACCTGCAGAGCCCAAACAACAACAGCAAGCACTCTGTCACTCTTGGGGATGTTATACTGACTGATCTTGAAAAAGAGATAGAACCTCCTCCAAAAATTCAGTTTGATGAACCTTTGGAGAAAAGAGCTAATCCAAAATCAGATTTGGAAGTTCAAGCGGATTCTCCCACACAGGCAGGAGCCTCTTCTGAGGGGGAGAAGGAAGAAGAGGATTACAGCACAGTCTCATCCACAACCTGTGATACACCTCTCCCTCTGGATACTTCTGTGTCGAACAAGAAGCCCATGTTTTACATCATAGACTGCACAGAAACAGACTGCTCTGTAATACTGGATTACTCTGAGGCTGAAAGCACATCTCTTACCAAAGAAGGGCTTCAGATTGGATCTAATTGCAGCAAAGAACTCGAAAGCCAGCAAGTTCCAATTTCCTTACACAATGACCACTCCATTTCGACTAGCGAGCTCTCAGCACCCAAATCCCTGGATACAGCATCTTTGACTGCATCTGCAACGACAGAGGACTGGGACACGGAGAGCTGTGACACAGCTGAGAAGCAGGCTTTTGAAAAGAACCAGAGGCAGGGCAGAAAACCGGTGAACTCAAAGAGTAACAAAGTGTCAAGGGGCAGCGGGAATCGAGTGGTCCGGACTCTGACCAGCAGCGAGAGCCAAGGAATCCGGAAAGTTGTGCCCATCAGCAGGGTAAGCAGGACAGGCAGCAGCAAAAGGACTGACAGGCCTACAGTGCATGAGGGAGGAGAGACACATCGACATCTTCGTGACCAGAGTACACCGGCAAGAGGAAGAGCTGAGAAGACTACAAGACCACCTCGACACTCAAGTGTACCTCCTGATCATTCCAAAGTTCAGAGGGGGGTTGGCCTCGCAGGTGGTGTGTCTAGATGGGAGCGAGATTCAACACCGAGAAAAGCCTCCCTCCATAAGCCAAGCACCAAACCCCTGAGGAACATCTCAAAGCCTGTGCATGAGGAGAAGATGTGCCGTTCCACTCTGAGAGCTCAGGCCCAGGCTCTAATCCAAAGTGGAAATTCACCTGAAAATAGCAGCTCACAAACACAAACCACTAAGAACTCCTCCCTTGTCCCAAGCTTTGCCCGAAACACTGTAGCCTCATCTTCCAGAACCAAAAGGGAGCTGGGGGTCCCATCCGTCCCCAACACTCCATCCCGCAGTCCTTCCCTTCGCGGGCGGCAAACCTCCACAAAGCAAAGTCGGGTGTCAGCAACGGTTCACAACAATGAGGAAAAGCCTCAAGGAACACAAGTGCGACGGGTGCAGAGTGTCAAGGCTGCGAGTCGCAGTGCGTGTCGCAGTGAGACGCCACCTCCAGCATCAACACGGGGAGATATTCGTAAGACAAGCAGCTTTTCTGAAAAGTCTGTGCAACTGAGAGACTCCTTTGTGTCTGGCAAATCCACAAAGCCAAGCTGGAAGTAAATTCCAACATGTTGGAAAGTACCTAAGGACAATTTTTCCATATAGAATAGAGTGATATTTACTCGCCTTATCAATTCACAATGCAGAGGTATTCTCTCATATCATGCAACAGTCCTAAATCTGAAATGTGTACCAAGCTATCACATCTTCTAAGATTACTTCAGTAGTTGACGAATTGCAAAAAGCAAGATGCAATTAACCTAATTTTAGTTGTTTCTGTAGAAAAAGTACTTTTTTTATTTTGCTCTTAAAAAGACAAGTGGTAGATTGGTAATCTTACACTAAAGCCTTTTTGCCTGCTTAGCTGAAGTTGTACAGAACCCTATATATGATGATCATGTTGAAAACTACTGACTCACTACCATAATGCTGCTAATTAGCTCTGACAGCTCTTTTTTACATTCAGGGTTTTAAAATATGGTACATCTTGCTCCTGTTACTGTGCCTTGACAAAGTATTGATACCCAAATAACTTGTTCATACTTTCTCATGTTACAACCAAAACTGAAATATATCCATTTAGCATTTGGGATACACTAGCACTAAATAGTGTATATTTAGAAAGTAAGAATGAAAATGATACATGACAATGCACATGAGAGGCCAGGGCTGCATACAGTTAAAAGTTGCCTAGGTAGTATTGGTTGAATCCAAATTTCCTTTTCTTATCTAGTATTACAATGTTTTATTTCTCTTTGTGACCTCTTGCATTTTCAGCAATTTTATCTATGTAATCTCGGTGGGGGTATCTACTCCAGCAAGTGTCCATCCCTCTACTTTTGGTTTCTACCTTTTAGATGTGACAACAAGTCAGCTGTCACCATCTAACCCCATCTACTGCATGTTCTTGTCCCACACCTACTACATTTATGTCATTTCATCTTTAAACGCCCCTCTTTAAGCAATGGTCCAATTTCCTCCGATTTAAGCCTCTTTTGTGGCTACTATGACATAGATGACAGAGAATGTGAACACATTAGATTCCTCTTTAGTTGCTCTAGGCCTCCTGTCTGATGTACTGTCCAGTCTTAAAACATTTTCTGCACTTAATTTGTGCTACTAAAACTAAACCTTTTACAACCAACTCAAGAGGTTTCTATTGAAAAACTATGGGTTTACTGAAAGTCACCTGCTCCAGATTTTAATCGGTGGCTTTGAGGTAAACAGAGCCGAATACTTATTTATCCAGTTTTTGATTTTGATTTTTACACCTTATATTTTTTTCATCCAACTTTACAGTTATTTCCTGCTTTACGTCGGACCATGACTGTCAAATAAAAACACCAATAGAATAATCACCATTAAAATATTACCGCTACATTTAGTCATTCACCCATTCAAACACTGAGGGTGTTCCTTAACTCATGTGGGGCTTCACAACAGATATTTGTTGTGGTTGTAATATGAGAAATTGTTGAAAACTTGAAGTAGTATTCATGCTTTTGCGAGGCACCTTATGTCTTTAAGTTTGGCCGAGTCCTTCAACAGATGCACACTGATTTGTTTGTCTTGTTTTCTTTGCTAAATACCTCAGACATTTCACAGTTGCCTTGTAATCGCAGGAGATTGAATCATTTATTTTTACATGCTGACAATATGGACATAATTTGATCAATTTAAGTCCTTGGCATCCTGTAGAACAACATATAATGTCACAAATAAAATTTCAGTATAAACTAGCTGTGGCAGGCCTACTTTTGTACCTTTTCTACTTCAGTGTCAGTCATTTGTAAATGTGTTAAAACTCCATCATGACAGCATGGAGACTTTGTGGGCAGTCAGAATGGTTATGCTTGGAACAGGAGATGATAAATATATATTATGTAAATGTAATGATGGCGGCAATGGTGCTGGTCTAACTGTCCATTCTGCACACCTGCTTAGCTCCACCCCGTCTGCAATAAACCTTCACTGGTTTCACCTGTTTCCACCTGCTTATAAGCCCCATTCAGATCAGCTACCAGTACCAGATCGTCTTGAAACAACCCGTGAGAAGCTTCCAGCCATTCTGTTTGCAAGCCTCTCTGTCTGCTTGTCTGTTGTCCAACCTTATCTGATTCCTGTTACTAAGCCGGATCTGCCGCTGGACTTTGGACCCTGTTTATCCTGGACTGCCTGCCTGTTAGTCGGCCAATGGACAGAATTATTTAGCTGTTGATGTATATTACTAATTGCTGCTGTCTGTATTAGCAAATCTGATCCATGTTCTAAATTCTAAGCTGATCAGGTAAAATGAATCTGTGACATAAACTTCAAAAGCTTTAAATCTGAATTTGGAGAACGTAATCTGCCAGTCACCATACAAGGTGGGAATTGGCTAATTGTAGATGTCCCTATAACACAAACATGTGTAAGTAAGCATTATATCCTCACAATCTTATTGATTTAAAGGGACATGCAACAAATGCCATCTCCAATACTGTATTTTAAAAATACATAAAATAAATAACCAAGGAAAAAGTTTAAGTGTCAAGCTTAAACTTTTTCCAAGAGTCAAGAGTGTGATTCAGTATTGGAGGCAGACAAACAGTTTTCTCAAAACGTTTATTGGAAACTGAATGAAAGTGAGCAGTGTTGGCCTCTACAGTAAGGCAGGAACCTCTGCAGGAGGAGACAACAAGGTTAGTGACCACATCTTTCCAGAAGTGGGTGTTAATTTATGAGGAAGTCATTCACCTGGCCTTATAGTTCAGTGCGAGGCCAGAGGGTCAGGATGGTTCCTGCCGGCCGGCTGCCTGGAAAACACAGTGGGCACAGCCCAGAGAATCCCAGACGTTGTTGTATCGGTGGTCAGAGGACAGGCAGGAGATCTGAACCGAGGAAACTAAGGAAGGCAGGATAATCCAGAGGGCGAAGCCAAAGCCGATGTCGGTGACGTGCTTGGTCTTCAGAGCCAGGAGGTCAGAGATCCAGTGAGGTGCCGAGGGAGAATCCAGAACCAAGTCGGGTAACGGTTACAGGTATGGTACACAGACAGATCTGGTGGGAGCCAGAAGACAGGTCAGGCAAACAGATCAGACAGGAATAGGCTAGCTCAGAGGTCGAGAGGCAGGATATGTAATTAACTCAGAAGGTAGGACAAAGAATTTGAGACTAGATAGTGATAGGATAAAGGGCATCTACTAAAAAACACTGAACAGAAGCTGGCTGTGGATCTGCAGCAGCTGCGGAGAGAGGCGGGGCACTGCCCATCACTGACAACTCTGGGTAGAGAGAAACACAGGTAAGTGACCATGATAATCTTAAGGAAGATGATTGTCCATGTGGATCCCTTACCTGGTTTAACCGTTTAGTCCATCTCATTAGAGTGAGGCAGGATCCAGCTGATGGCCTGCCAACGAGATGCAGTGGGCACCGCCCAGAGTGAACCAGATGCTGCAGCCCAGGTGAACATACAGGAATCTGAGCCAGGTCAGGGAAACAGTTCAGAACAGGAAGATCCAGGGTTTTAAGAGTCCAACAAAGAGTTCAGGCAGAACTTTCAGATGGGAATAGGCAAGCTCAGTAATTGAGAGGTAGAACAAGGCTGAATATCATGAATACTACGGTACGTTAAAAAACTTGCTCCCTCCATTGAGCCAAGAACAGGAACAGGGCACCTTCAGTGGATATGAGACACAGACATGATCAGGAACACTATGATAATACTAACACTGTCTCTCACCACTGGCCTCTGAGAACGAGAACATGAACTATTGAATCAAAGTCAAACTCAGCAACACAATCACCAAATAAATAATACAAACTCTTTGATAATTGGTAACTGGCAGTTCGGCAGGTAATTGAGTTTAGCATTTAGGTCAGCTATCAGAGTAATGATCATGACAGAATAGGTCAGGATCAGGTAAGCAGAATACAGTTACACTAGAATGCTTCTCACCAGCAGCTCGAATAATCTGGCACCGGTGACTGGTCTGAAAGCTGGTTAAATAGAGATTAAAGCTAAGCAGGTGTGTAAAATGAGTAATCAGGCCAGGCATCAGTGCTGAGATCATGACAACCCTTGTTGTTGGTTAAAGTACTGTAAACATTGCGTTTTATGCATCCCTATAAAATAACACTGAATATTATATTTAATGTGTTGAATGAGAGTATGAGCATTTTCCATATTGTTTTGAAAACAAAATTATTTTAGCTGTGATGGCAGCAAAACTTATATAATCTACTGTAAACGATTGCAAAGCCTGATATAACTCATCTATCAACAGCAACACCTCCCTAGTTGAAACGAAACAGTATTTGCAGTATTTGCAATATTCAGTCACATGACGCTTAAACACTATCTCCATTTTAGGTACATAGTATCTAGTATTATGTCAACATCTAAAATACGAAACCATCCAGAAACATGTCCTAAAGAGATCCTCATTAGACAATATGGAGCTGCAGGGCGTTGGCATATCGTAGCTATCTTTCTGGTTACTATTATGCAAATGAGGTGATGACATTGAAGCTCCAATGTGACACACAGGCCACTTGTGCCTACAAAGGCACTTTCTGTTGACTTCCATTCATTATAGTAACTCAATTTGTACCTGAAGCTAACTCTTAAAAACATTGGTCTCCTCTGCATTGAAGCAAAACTTTGGTCTCCATTAGCGGAACAATTGGAATTCAGAGGGTAAGTGAATTTATCAAAAAACATCCCAAATATAAAGTACGCAAGGCCACACAAACAGTCATTACAATCCCAACCCTCTTGACTCATGTGAGCTTTGCATTTTGCTTTAAATCTTTAACTAGTTTAGTACTGATCAGGAATTTTTTGATAGAATCAATGGTAAAACATTTTGCAAGGGAATCTAATAAGACATTACATGTGGATGTTTTGTGTAGGTATTCTAAATTTGGACATCAGAAGCTCAAAAAAAAGGATACCAATAGATGTTGCCTGGATTTGCAGTTAATGAAGCAAATTAAAAAAAAATTTCGCCGCACAAAAATAAAAAAAAATGTATTACAAAAATCTAGTTTAGAAAAATGTCAAAATGTTTCAGTAATGTTTTTCACTTGCTCAAACTTCTTAACCCATTAAAACCAAGTGCATTGTATGTGATACATATGTTTTTGAGACCTCTTTTGTTCTTGAAAACCCCGACTTACACAATAAGACATATGTATTGTACCGAAAATATAGAAAAGATTATAGACAAGTGTCTAATGTATCACAAATGGTGCAAAAAACGTCAAATTAATTTTTTGCATTTGTCAGAAAGTTCAATGAAAACTCTAATTTGAAAAAAGGACTGTTGTTTTTTTTATGATTTGATGGTCCAGGCTTTAAAGGGTTTTAATATAGAAGATCATCTGAGCATGTTGTGCAATGCCCCCTGCTGCAGTCTTTTCACAAGCTCTTTGCATTTCACCGCTCTGGCTTACAGTACAGCTGAAGAGCTTCAGAGTAATTTGCATACTTACTTGCCCTTTTCCCCACAACTTCCTTGTTTGTGGGTGGTTGGTAAAGAAACAGTCAAGGCTTTATTTGTCATTATGACCCAAAACATTAACTGCAGTAAAACATAACATGTATAATTTATATTAAGAGTACTGTAAACTAGATTTCATTAAAATTTACTAGCTGAACTCAAAGTAAGTTTTCTATTTTGTTTCCTCAAAATCACAATTTTTTAGTCTTCCAAAGTAACTGTAAACACTGTTATAATGTCAGTCTGTGCATGATTATTGTCTATGATTCGATTATTGGCCAATTTGCTTCCCTTATTGTCAGAGGGCTCTTGTTCAAAATTCTTCTTCTTGCCTCACTGTGTGGAAAGATACACTCTTGGTGCTCACTCTTTGATGTAATTGAGTCTTGTTGGCTGCAGCTGAACCTCTAACATGAGGTTCTTATTCAGGAAAACTCATATTATAGGTGCAATATGACGATTCTAGCATTTACAACACTGTTTGACAGA